TGCTGTATTCTCGCATCGCTTAAAAATCATTTACATTGTATGTCATTGTTTCCTTTTTGCACCTGCCACTGAAAATGTTTTCACACAATTAATTTAAAGTTGTCAAAGCTTCTTTAGCACATCTAGGGCTCATTTTGTTGGCTTACAACAGCTTTACTAGTTTAAGTTACATTGTGACAAAAACTTTACAGCGTATCACAAAGCAGATTTTACTTGGGGTTTTTTCATGTGGTGCCACAAAATGTCATCATACCTCTTGTTTTATCCAACATGGACTAATTTAAAGCAACTCAGATTATTTAACTTCAAAAATATTCAGAGAAGGAAGAGCTGGTGCAACTGACTTCTGGTCACTCACCCGATCAAGCTAGCTTTTTGTTTTTGTTTTTTCTAACCATATGCATCTCTAAACCGATATGGGGTTTACCTTTGCTGTTTTGGGTCTTTCAGCTGCCATTTTCTTTTCTTTTTGGTTTGGTTTTCTTGTAGTGGATTGTCTGTGTATTAGTAGTCGTAGTAGTAGTTACAGTGTACTGGTCCTAAGTTTGTGACACGAACCTTTAATGCCTGGCAAAGTGTCTCATGTTTTTTTTTTTGTTTTTTGTTTTTTTACGTTCCTCTTTTTTTGGGAATGAGAATTGCTCTCTCTCTCTTTCTCTTTCTTTCTCTTTCTTTCTATCTCTGCTACCTTTATCTCTCCCTCTGTATCTCGCTGTCTCTCTGTTCCCTCCATCCTTTGGTGCTCTGTTTCTCAACCCACCACATATGATGAGATTTTTTCAGGAGAATGGTCACCAAATGTAATTGCTTTATTTGAATGATGCACTTTGGTATATATACGTTTTCAACAGTAATTTATTGATTTTTTTTTTCTTGTGTTGCTTGTGTAAACTTATTTTCCCTCTTTTTTTTCATCTTTATGTTTCCCTGTTTCTGAATACGGACTGGCTCTGTCTCTTTACCTCTCACCTGCATCCCTCACCCCTAACGTTCCCGTCTCATCTTTGTCTCTTATGTGTTTGACGTGGGAGTGCTCCGATTGTTTTGATTGGTCTCTATTCTGCATCCGAAGCTTGCTGATTGGCTAAGAATTATTTATTTTTTTATTTTTTGGTTGATTTAGTTTGTAACTCACTCTGGGTCATGTGATGCGCCCGTATATGGCTGTGTGTAATTTTTTTGTTTAGATGATTATTAATTTTGTCAAACAAATGTTTTTTGCACCCCCCTCTTTCTCTCCCTCTCTTTTTGTATTTCATTTAAAACTGCATTTATTCTTTTAGGTACGTAAACCCCACAAGTTTGGTTTCATATGGAAATGTGATTTGGGTTTTTGTTTTATTTTTGTTTTTTTTGTTTTTTTTTTCTTTTTGTCCGGATTTATTGGCAAGGCTGGACTGGGAGGGCAAAAGTGGGATGAGAAAAGATGAATGTTTTCGAAATTATTAACACTTTGCCTTCCATATTGGTCTCTGTTGATTTGCATGTGTTCATGTCCCATTTCATTGATTATGCATGACCTAAATGCACTTATCACTGTGTACATATGCAGTGCCTTGGGACAGTATTCATACGTCACTAGATTTTGCTTCAACCACAAACTTCAATACATTTCACTGGGATTTTATGTGATGGACCAACTCAAAGTAGCGCAAGATCATGATGCGAAAACTATACGTTGATTTCAAAGTATATTTGACCATTTTTAGTTGTTTTCATTAAACCTGATCAACCTGGTCAGGTTTTTGAAACATTGGTGATCCAACAGAAAACTGCAGTCTCTCCTAGACCAACGGCATCAGATCCAGTGACTTAAATAAAGCTCAACAAGCTGAATAAAAAGGACATTTCCCGCCCACGGCCATCAGCATCTACAACTCTTTGAAGAAATGTGTGCAGTAGGAGCTGCAGCATCGCTTACTCAATTTCAATAAAGTATAAAGCCTGTCTTATCAGTTTTAGCTGAACAACAGCTGCATGTACGCTAATATTAAAGCACAAACATGTGGACTCTGTGTGCAAAGTAGGTGATGCCTTAAAGCCATTGTACAGAGCTAAATTGGTGCCATAAAATTAGTCAGAAATAAAAAAAAACACTGAAATTGTAAAACAAAGTTCAAGTTGGAAAAAAAGCTTTGAAAATGAAAAAAAATGAAATTGAAAAATAAAAATTTAAGTCTACTTTTCAGATTCAAAGTTTTTTTTCAGTTTCTGATTTTTTTTTTCTTTAGTTTCAGGTTTTTATTTAGTTTAAAAAAATGTTTTGACAAACTTTATTGCTCCTATTTAGCTCCATATGATTGGCTGCAGTGGATTTTATTCAGGAATATCACCTTAAATGGACTGAATACAAATGTACACGACACTTTCCAGATCAGTTTTGTTCAAAAATGTTAATATCCATTCATAATTATTGTTTTTCTTTGTTCTGTTGGTCTGCCACATAAAATCCAGATAAAATACATTACAAATAGTAGTTGTCGCAATGTCACAAAATGAGTAAACGGTTCATTGGGTGTAAATACTTTTGCAAGGCGCCGTATACAGACCCACCATTTACATCCACTAAAGTGAACTGGTAGCTGATCACATATAGACCAAACGCTCCTCCATTTGTAGGGATTTCTTGATTCCCCTCTCAGAACGTTTCCATTCTGCAACATCTGGACAGCTGTGTGAGGCAAGCTAGCTAAGCTAGGCTAATTGAGTCATTCGCCCCTGACCTTGACATCTGCGATGAGGGAAAAATGAGGCAAACCTCTTTTCCATTTGAATGAAGCTCTGCAGATAAAGAACGTGACTCACCAGGCGAGGCAATGCGAACAGCAGCCTAGGCTTTAATGGTTCCCTCTCTAAATGGGAGAGTGGTGTGTGTGTGTGTGTGTGTGTGTGTGTGTGTGTGTGCGTGCGCGCGCTGAAACGCGCTCATTCCTCGACCCCGTCTCTCTCCTCCATTTGCCGCATGCTAGCACACCCTCTCTGTGAATTCTGCCAAAAGGTCGTTAATCTTTGGCTTCCCAAACAGTCAAAACGTTTGGGCAGTGTGCTCAGACAGGACGGCTTATTACGGAGAGCCAGTCTCCATCTCTCAAAGCCCATCAAAGGGAAGATGAGGAAACATCAAGGAGACCAAAGTGTGAGCCTTTGAAGCTCAGAAAGGAGATTATCAGCCATCTTTGATAGAAAACCTTTAAAAAAGAAGCAGGAAGCATGCAAAGGACATACACACACCATCAATGAGACCCCCATTTTGTTCATCTGCGCATGCTGAAAAATAAACAGCTGGGTTTCCTTTGCTGCGCGCCCTCACACATCCCTTCAGAACCACCGAAAGAAACTCCACTGCACAGCTTGCTTCTTGTTGCATGACTGAAAACCACCTTAACAACCTCCATCCACTTTTACCCTCAAACACAAACAGACACAGAGTCAAGTCACCTCTGGTGATGCATAGTTTTACTGCACCTACGTGACGTTTTAACGTCTGCAGAGGTAGATCATAACTCCTAACATCCTGCTCAGACATGATCTCAGAAATCTAGAGATTTACTCTTGTTTCAAGTTTCTTTTAACAATTTAAGCGCCATCTTATAAGTCTCACGCTAAGCCTGCCAAACGGCAGACGTAATCTTCTGTTGTCTTAAACACAAGTTGCTATGTGGGCAAATTTTAAAGATTTTTTTTATTGGTTATGGCAGATTTTATTTATTTTTATTACTGATGCTGAAGTCTAGACAACAATGAGGTCCTGTTCACGATCTAAAGGATTAGAGAATAGAGTATTACTGGTTTATTACTTTCTACAGCTCTCTGTGTATTATATCGTCATCTTCCTAAAAAAAAAAAGGCCTAAGTAATTTTTTTTGCCAATTTTTTGGGGTCAAAAAATGACTTGGGCCTTTATTTTGGAAGGTGATGCCATACAGATGTACCAATCAAAAATTTGTGATCTATTCCCAGTTTACAATTTTTATGTTTTTTATGTTTTGACCTATTTACTCAAATTGTAGCTAGCTTGTATTTAAGAACCATAACTAACAGTTAATTTTTCTAGCTTTCTAATCATGAATTAAATTCCAAATTTTCATAATTGCATAAATAAAAAAATACAAATTAGAGGAAGAAACAAAAATGATCCACAGAGTCTTAAGCTTTTTTTTTTAGGATGTAGAACTAGTAGCATGGTTAGCATCTCTATCTGTATACCTCAGCCTCTGTTCATTTCTTACAGAATGCAGATTTTATTTAACTCTTAGTTTTCCAAAAATTACAAACATTTGCAGAACCAGAATTGTCCATGGCAGACAGAAGCTAAAAACTCAAAAGATTAAGAGAAAATAAGCTATAAAATGTTTCGCCTGTCTGCTTAAAGTCATGCTCTCTCTCTCTCTCTCTTTCTTTTTAGCAGTCATAATGCAGAGTTGTATTAAATACAGCTTCCTTTCTAGAATATTCTTATGCTTTTACAGATTACTCTGATTTCATGTATATCTAACTTTGAGTTTTCTTCCATCTATAAAACTTCTACAGAGAAAAGTATTGCTGCTAGATTGAACCATTATAGGTTTAATGATTTCACTGATGGCAAAAACCTTCAGATTTCCAAACAGCCTAGTCACTAAAAAAATTTTCTATATTGCTCAATTTGTGACATTCCTCCCATTTAAGTAGAAATATTATAATGTTTTCCTTAGAAACGTCCCTCATGGCATCATTAAGATTCAAAACAAACTTCAGAGTGAAATTGCTAAACATGAAAAGTAGATGTTTACACAAGGAAATCAACCAGCGCTCTAAATGTTCTATATAATCATTTTTAATAGCACACCAAATAAAATTGTCAGAGGGAGGCATCATAATCAGCAATATGCACGTTAATTATCTTCACAGTGTTAAAAGCAAGCTACACATCAGCCTTGGCCTAAATTTTGAGTTTGTGTGCTAATTTTCTCTTCCTCTGTTGTCTGTGCGCTTGACTGTCTGCTCCTCCGCCCCCCCAGGTGAATAATGCCACCGCCAGGGTGATGACTAACAAGAAAATCGTCAGCCCTTACCCTAATGGAGAGGCTCTCAGCACGCTGCCCTATGGTAACAACCGCAGTGACGCACGCTAACACCGAACCTAAAAAACCCAAAGGGAGAGGCAGGAGGACTGAAATTCCCACGTTGTCCTCTCTGCTGCCTTCAAAATGTTTAATTACGCTCGTGCACATGCTATCATATTAAAACAATTTGTGCAGTAGTTTAAGCTCTCATAGAAAAAAAGCTATCGCAGCATCATAAACTATATAATAAAGGCATTTATTCAGAAAATTATGCTATGATGCTAAAACAAACTGGTAAAGCAGCTGAACTGCAAGCAGAAGTCTTTGGTAAAGAGTGTAAAGTTGTAAAAAAAAATATAAGAGCAGAAAAATGTAGATAAAAGTGGTGAAGAAACTGAAATCAAAGCACACCAACCGACTGTAGTCAATTATTTATTCATTTTTTTAGAGGTATCTTTAAAACAGAAGAGTCAGCAGACCAGCATGGAAGAAAAAGCAGAATTAACTGGTTAAATCACAATATATAACATATTTCTAATAGCATGTTAGCTAACAGTAGCTAATGTTGTCTACAGTGCTGGAATTTAGCATTATGCAACAATTGGTAATTTTCTAGCTAACATACTAAACACTATAATTTAGCATACTATCATTAGCTAACAAGCTACTAACATAATTTTTATTATAATAGCTAGCACTATATTTTGTGTTGAACATAGATGGTATGCTAGCTAGCATTAGCAAACTTGCTACTAATAGCCTATTGGCTAACAGAAGTCAACAGGTTTTGCTGAGTTGGGATTTAGTAGTTACCACCTGTTGCTACATTAGCCACAATGCTAGTAACATCTGCTATGTTAATATTTGGGAGTATTCTGGCCACAGCTGGAATAGAGCCGTGGTGAATCACTGTTTGCAGTAATAAACACCAAACAAATAAAACTGTACAAAGTGAAAGTGGTGCACTGAAGAACTTAGGCAGATTGTAACATTTTCTATATGTTGAACGTAAAGGTAAATGTTTTTTAAAGTGCTTGTTTTATTGCTTGCCTTTTGCCCGTCTCTGTAACCAATCAGCAGGGTGGAAGTTAAGTCCCATGGTGGGAGCTGTGTACGGCCCAGAAATCTACGCAGGTAAGGGCGTCCTCCGTCTGCCAAATGATCGCAGCGCTGTTCTCACCTTCATCACCAGAGTCCTCAACAAACCCATCTTATATCCTTCCAGTCCCTGGGTTTCCCTACCCAACCGCAGCGGCTGCGGCGGCAGCCACGACGGCGGCGGCGGCGTTCCGTGGCGCCCACCTCAGAGGCCGAGGCCGGCCCGTTTACAGCGCCGTCAGGGCGGCCGTGCCTCAGCCCACCATCCCTGCCTACCCTGGGTAATGAAAGTCTGCCTGTTTTTGTCAACAGCAGCTGTTAACTTCATATGTGCAGCAACACGGGGCATCTGGAATTAAATCTTAGTCAGTTTTTAAATCTGGTCGGCTTTGTGTGGTGCTTGAACGAATCTGCTCGCCCAGGTCTCCGTCTGACTCAAACGCTCAGTCAGCCGTCACCCTCCGCTTCTTTTCAGTCTGCTCACAAGCAGTCACAACGCGGCGCTGCGCTCTGATTGGATTGCACCACTGAGGGTTGATTTGAATAAACAGACGCCCTCCGTCAGCAGATTTGCATAAGCACACACAAGATGCAAAACGCAGTCACCTTGTACACGGGTTTAGCTGCAGATGAACCAGCCTCGGTCTGTTCTCTGTGTACCATGCATGTCATTGTGCTGTGATGACGGGGCTAATCGGGGGGGTCCGCTGCTGCATTTCCACTGCGATCAAAGCAGATCTGAATGATTTACGGCCTAGCTGTTACTTGCTGTGATATGATTAAACTCGGCTCGGGAAGATGGAAATTGGAGGATGCAGGAAATACCCTCTCCAAACCGGCTCCACCTCCAGGCGTCACTCTCAGTGAAAAGGCCCAATCAGAGAGGTCGTTTATTGCATTTCTCCTAGCAGGGGAATAGTCGCACTTTACGGTCACGTTTTAGTTCATTAAACTTGACTTATTGGCCCCGGGAGTAGAGCCGGCCCACGGCAGATGCGAGTTAAGCCCCCGGACTACCACAGGGGCCAAAATAAGACCGAGCCAGCATGAATAAATACATATATTTAAAATATAAACTATATGAAAAAAATGTCTGTATTGTTGTATAGTTGGTACATAAAAATATACATATTAATCTCTTCTCTGTTGTTGGCTGCTGCTGCTACTGTTGGGAAAATATGATATATCAAACTTGTTAACTTACTGTAAATTTGGTGTTTATGGGCTGAAGTTACTTTAAAAATAATTAAAATAGTATGGAATGCTTTAATACTACTCTGCATCTCAAAAGCCAATTTTTTTTTGGTTGTTACTCCTGCGTGGTTAAAATTAAAGCTGCAGTATGAAACTTTTACATAAGCATTTTTTTCCATACTCATTAAAACTGTCATATTGTGATGGTATCAAATGGGACAGATAAACTGTGAAAAAAAATGCATATATATATATATTTTTTTCTTTTTCTGTTTAATCATTTATCTACCTGTGACGTTTGTTATGAAGCACTTTGGTCAGCTGAGGAAGTTGTAAATGTGCTTTATAAATAAACTTTGGCTCGACTTGAGCACAAACATGATTGGAAGCGCTAAGCCCCTCCTCCTGGCTCTGATTGGTTATTTCTGCAGTTAGTACTGGGAGCACTGGGAGAAGGTAGAGGACCTTTTTTTTTTCCAGATCGTCTGTCTGATTATGATATAATATAACTTTAACAAATATGTAATATATATATATATATATATATATATATATTGTTTTTTTTTTTATTATAAAAGTTACATACTGCAGCTTTAATAGCCATGACAACACTGGTATTATGTAAGATAATTACAAATTATGCTAATGATAACGGGTATCAGAGTAGCTAATAATAAACCATTTGGTGTTGACATGTTGATATTGATGGGGCCCTCAAATGAAAACCCGCTCAGGGCCCTAAAACTGTTTGAGCCGGCCCTGCCCCGGCAGTGAAACGTGTAAATTTTTCCAGCTGCACTCGTGGAGCTGAAGTGGAAGTTGTATTTCCTCTGCATGCTGCATGGGTGTGAAATAACACTTTTTTTTCTCTGTTTTTTCTCCTCTCTGTACCCTCTCTTTGTTTATGCTGTGTTGTGATCCTCATCCACCTTGGGGTTTTTTTGGGGACTGTGCACCACTCCGTTTGCACCCCTCCCTCCACTCCACCTTCCCCTCCTGTACCTTCCCACTCCGCTTCCCTCGTCCTCTCTGTGCATCTGCCATGTCCGCCCCCCTCCTCGTTCCCCCTGCTCTCAGCGTGGTGTATCAGGATGGGTTTTACGGAGCTGCAGACTTATATGTAAGTAAACTCACTTCCGAAACGACACGTCATGTCTGTCCCTGCCTTCACAGCCTCCTTTCTGCTCTGTTGTTTTTTTTTTTTTTCCCTTTTCCCTCTTGGGGTGATTCTGCATGTGCATTCAGTCATGCACCGCACAGAGCAGCCTGTATGATGGTGAAACTGCTCAAACGCACCAATAATTTGCAAGATATTTCATGCTGGAGGGCTTTTGTTGTCTGTAGTAAAAAAAAGAATAGTGACACACACACACACACACACTGATCTGTCTGGGTTTAAAAATAACACGAGCTGATTAAGAAAAAATAAAAGATCATAGTAGGGAGTATCTGAAACACCACTACAAAGGCTGCTTTGTGGGCGGATGCTGCAGTGCGCATCAGTGTTTGAGAGCGTGTGTAAGTGTGTGTGTGTGTGTGTATCCAGGTTGACAACGGCTGTTTCTGTTCTCTCTATAGACTAGTGTTACAGGACTCAGTCCTTAGTCCCAGATTGCCTCAGGTAGGGTCACCTCACCATCGAACCTCCAGTGTGCATTGTTTGACTTTACTACCTCCTCTGATCTTAAGAATCATCCTCTGATCTGATCTGGAACATGTCGTCGTCTTCTAGTTGTTGAGAAAAATGCTTTGGAGTTTTGCTTTTTTATTTTTCTTCTACTAACTCACTGAATCTTTCCAGTTGTGGAAAAAGGAGAACTTTTTGTTTGTTCACTAAACTACTACTACTAAAAATATTTATATATATATTGCTTATAGTTTTTGTCACAAGCTGTTCAAAGGAGAACCTGGAAATAAAATTAAAATTATTCGATCTTCCCGTTGGCAAAAACTTGATTTTTATCCTTCATTTACGGTCGAAGGTCTTTTTTATACCTGCATCAGAGTTACAGTGCTGGTCTCAGTTTTTGTAAAATAAATTCCTTTTAATCAGCGGTAAAATAAAAAAAAACAAATACAAACTCACAAAATCACCAGTTGCACGATTATTGATGGCCCTACTGAGTACGTCTAGCACAGTGGTGTCCAAACTGGCAACTTATTTCATTTTATTATTTTTTTTTTTTTAGATCTAATTGCTCAAGAATAAATAAAATTTTTAGGAAAGCAGTATAGCATTAAAGATCCAAATTATTAAAGGGCTTTCAGTTGTTGCATTATTAAAAGAAAAACAGGCAATTTCCCAATTTTTTGCGTCAACCTTTTCATTTCATTGGTCAAATTTTTACTATTCTTGACTTGTGATAAAGAGGTCAAACTAAGTAATTTCAAGGGCCACAAAAGGTCCCTGGGCCACACTTTGGACACGGCTGACCCGGCACTAACGGGTCGAACCGAAGCTGAACTACTGACACGCAATTTTTGTCACAAAGCATCGACAACATGAAATAACTCAGCCATTGGGCTCTGCCATGCAGAGCGCTTCAGTTTTCTTCTAAAGCATTTCAGCACCTTTCAGCCAGGAGCGTCCCAATCCGATATCTGTATTGGAAATCAGTCCGTTATCAGACGAAATATGAGTATCGGACTATATTGGTCTGTATCTAAAATCTGCTATAATGCTATTTGACACAGAATTTGCAAAGCAGCCAATCCAGGAGCTGCACTTATTTTCCAGGACACTGATTGGCTGAACCCCCAAGAGCAGAAATAAGGAAAAACTGTAGATATTAGCTTCTGCGGCGGTGCTAAGACAGCTTCTGCTGTGCGCATTAATGCACAATAATGCACATCTATTGTTTTAACTATTAAAATATAAGCATTTTTTAGAGTTGAGTCTCAAGTATTTGCCTATTTTAACTCCTGGTGGGCTTTCCTAGCGCCCGTGAATATCGGCGGTCCACTTTATGCTGCATCCAAACCTGCAGCCTCTGTGCAACAACTGTGACCGAGAACTGTTTACTGTTTTTTTTTTCTTCCCCCAAAACAATTATGACTGTGTTACAAACACAGCTCAGGCATCTTTTTTTCTTTTTTTTCCCACTTAACCAGTGATGTCTGTCTGTTTAGAGATCTGTGGTTTGGTTTAGCGACGTTAGCTAGCGAGAGTCTCTGTAAGCCTTCTGCCTCCAGGTTGAAGCGGAGAGCATGCATTCTTCCTGAATTGACCCTTTCCCAGGATAATAAGCCAAGCATGCGCTGATCAGCTGCTGCATGCGGTCCTACTACGTCGCTGCCACCCCCTTCCTCCTGCTCCCTCCACCCACCTTGAGAGCCCCACTCCCTCCCATTAATAACCCCACCCTCCTCTTCCTCCTCGTCCTCTTGCTGCTGCTGCTTTTTGTCCTACAGGAGCCTCAGAGAGTGATCTGGTGTTTCCTTTCTCACATTCACCTCAGGTTCAAATGCAGTGGGGGTGTTTGTTGTGTTTTTCTTGTTAAACTCTGAATTGTAATTCTGGGTCATGCATGGAGTCTCGGTGCAGAGGGATGATTTTGTTGTCTGTCTGGGCCTGTGTGAGTGTGTTCTCACTTTGTTTTCCATCTTTTCTTTTATTTCTTTATTTGTCCTCAATCCCTCTGACAGAATCTGATCATCATCAGTGTAATGTTTAGCCACCATTAGACTATTTTTCTCTTCATCATTTGAGTCCTCTGTCTCCTCCGCTCAGAGTTTTGCTTTGTTCCCTGAGCAGAACATTCTGTCTTCCACCTTTTCCCCTCCTTGCCTTCAGTGGTAATACAGTAATCCTGACACTCCAGTGTCCTCTGTCTCTTCCTCTGTCTCACACTGACACATTGTGCTTTGTTTTGTTTTTGTTTTTTACCTAAGTTTTGATGCATATAGTTATTTTTAGGATACAGTGAGGCTTTCATGTAATAAAATTTTTTTTTTTTTTTTTTTTTTTTCAAATGATATCATCTGTTCACAGTAGCCGCTTCCTCCTCGGAGCCATGCCAGTTAGTTGTGTGTGTGTATGTGTGTGTGTCTCCAGGGAGGCTATCCTGCCGCTGCCGCCGCCGCCGCCGCATATCGCTACGCCCAGCCTGCTGCCGTAACCGGAGCAACGGCCGCAGCTGCTGCCTACAGTGACAGGTGAGGCCGGCCCTGACGGCTGCACTGCATGACCGAGGACTGGCTTATCCTCAGATGAAGATAGAAAATTATTAACGTTCTAACCTTTGGTTTTTTTTTTTATTATTTAGTTATGGGCGGGTATACACCACAGATCCGTACCACGCTTTAACTCCAGCTGCTGCTGCTTATGGAGTGGGAGCCATGGTAAGGGTCACGTCTCTAAAGCAGAGATTTATTGCCACTTTCTAATACCCAGTTTTTGTAAAGTTTGGACTTGCCAATACAGATTTCTCTTTTAAGAACTTTTTCTTGTTTCCCGTCCTGCTGTGAGCGATTCTTTGTCGCACGCTGTGAGCCAACAGTCCTGCAAGCAACATACAATTTTCTTCCATTAACTTCTTAGGTTAGCAATTAGCATAATTAGCAGGAATGTGCTGTAAACAGCAGCCTCATTGCACATCCTCTAGGATGTTGATCGCTACCTTAACTAATAGACAATAGGTGTGGAGGGCACACTTCTGCTAATGCGCTAATAGCAAAGCTAAATTTTCACCTGTAGCTTTTACCAACTTTGAAAACGAAAGTTTGTTTTTCCGGATTCGTTCGAAAGCGCTAATTTACTTGGCTGTTTTGTAAGCTTTCATTTGAATAAAGTTTGATATTTGTGTCCAGGTTTTGTTCATCTACTGTCAGGATTTCTTTAAATAGTTACACGTTTATATTCATGCTCTTACTTTGAAGTGGGTGAAGAATGTCCCGTTTTCTCTGCTCACGTCTTTTTTCCTCCTTACGATTTATTTTGAAAAGACTCACAGGAACAAAATGAAACATGGACAGAAGATATTATCTAAGGCCGTCACAGAACATGTCAATTGGTTCTGTAGGGTTGTAGTTTTCAGTTTTCCTAAGTTATCAGTTCAGCATTAGCTTCCGCTGAATACTGTGTTGGCTTTAGTGTTAATGGAACCAATGTGTCTAATTAGTGCTTTAGCATTAGCGGTGCCCACCACAACTATAACGCTGACGATGTTTCCAAATCCATCATGGTCCGAAACAGACAGGAGTGGAAAATTCAAAAGACAAAAACTAATTTGCTATATTACGTTCAATCTTATTGGTATCAGCTGAAGTCTGGCCCGTCTTAATTTGTTCCTTCATCAGTACGATGAAACGTCTCCGTAGTGGCAGACAAGTCCTGTGAAAGCAAGAAACAACCAAAACTGGAAAAGGACAAAATGACAAGAAACTCCAACAGCAACGTAATGTTGTTCAAAAATTAAACAACAAAGGACCATTTTGAAATTAGTTTTGGCCATTTAGATGGTTTTACTGCTGGAACTAAACTAAAACTCAAGGTTATATCAAATAGGCATAGTTTATTTTATAGGTTTTATGCTAAAACCTATAAAATCGCCCGTTATCACAATGAAATCTAACAGAACAGTGTAACAAATCGAAACAGAACATTTTCAGGAACCTGTGAAGATTCAAATAAATGTAGAGATTACTATAAGACTCTAATTTTGTTGTTTTTGTGTGTCCTCTGTCTTCCAGGCTAGTTTATACCGGGCGGGATACAGTAGGTTTGCTCCTTACTAAAGCCACAAAAAAAAAAAATCCCATCCAAGGAATTCCACTTCTCTCCAAAACTCCCTCTGAAGCTCCGTGTTTTTGGCAGGAGCCTCCCCTCCATTTTATCTGCAGGCAGACTATAATAGTGACAGCTCACTTCTTCTTTTTTTCTTTTTTTTTAGTTTTGTTTTTTCCTCTCTCTCTCTCTCTTTTTATTTTGTGGTTGTTGCCACATCACCAAAACCAAACTCTGCCTGTAATTTTTTTCTGTCGCCGACATGAAACCAGTGGGGGGTAAAAGAAAAAAAAAAAATTAAAAAAAAAAAAACCTGCCATGATGAGCGTCTCCCACGTATGAAGCCGGAGCCTGCTGCTGGTTTGAACTTCACAGCAGCATTTGGGATTATTTTAAGAGGGAAAACAAAACTATGGGACCCAGGCGGCGAGGGACCTCTGAAACACTACAAATCTTCTTTTTTTTCTCCCCATATGAGCTGCCCTGTAAGACCCAACCCAACCCGACCCACTTAAACCCACAGCTACATTCAGCACCAAGTGTAACGTTTTTCTCTCCCGGTGTTGGACTGAACTGCGACTCTGAACTGCCACAGCATTAATGTACAAAGGTACTTTTTGTTTTTAAACACTACATTTACAGCTACACACAGCATAGATCTGCTGCAATCATCTTTTCTGGCTTACTAGTTAAAACAATAATGAGAAACAAAAAAAAAAGGATGAAACCAAGTACTTGATTCAGGATATAGGATTTTCTTTTGTTCTTCGTTTCATTTCAATGATGGAAACCACTGCTTCGAACTATATCCCACTGCCTTCTTTGTCATTTCAATTCAGTATACTCGAGAAAACTCAAGAAGACGAGATAATCAGTCCTCCGATACGTTTGAAGGTGACAAGGAAAGATACATTTTTCTGCATTACCTCAGTTGTTTGCTTTGCAACTCGAACAGAGATGATTATTTCCTTCAGCGGACGTGATTCCAGTTCGTTACGAAAGTTTGGCGCCTCACTCTTGATACTTTATTTTGCTTCTTCCAAAAAGTCAAAAAAGGATAAAAACAAAACAAAAACGGACTCTGTACATTTTTGTGTCCCAAAACCGTCAAGACATTCCAGCTGCAGCGAGCGAGCGGATCGGACGGACGTGGACGCGACAGGACTCAAAGGAAAAGCGGGAGCAGCAACGAGGGAAACAATTCAGTTCTGTTCCTTCTTCTTTCTTTCTTTCTTTTTTTTTTGTTTTACACTGCAGTTCCAATCCAGCAGCATGTAGACATCACAGTAATATAATGAAGTAGGAAAAACAACACAAAAAAAATAGGATTTCATCAACTAGTTTAGTTTAAAATTCATCATGTTGTGGTTTTACTTCCGGTGACTCTGAAGGCATCATGGAAACGACTGACTTACCACTTCCACACCCTCTATGAATCTCGCTATTATTTGCCTTTCCGTTTTTTGGGGTTCCAAAGATTTCTTTTCTTTTTTCTTCTTTTTTTTAAAAGACAGCACATTATTTTTTTTTTTTTTTTTTTTTTTTTTTTTCCTTGGTTTTTTTTTTTTTTTTTTTTTTTTTTTTTTTTTTTTTAAGTTTTTTTTTTTTTTAATTTTTCT